CCCCCAACTTGTCTCGCAAAGAAACTAGGAGTCAGAAGCCCTTGGACTCAGCTACCTCCATCATAAGCCTTTTCAGAACTCTGAGATGCAGTCTCATGAGGAACACCTTGGGAAGGAAATGACAAATTTTGGTGCAAAGATTAGTCTCAGAAAGAGAGGAGGGTCTCAGCCACTCCCACCCTGCTGGCTGTGGCTGAATCGGAGCTGCACGGGGCTGGTACCAGGGACCTCTAGGGCATCCAAGTGCCCCGTCTCCCCCACCTCCTCCTCCTCAGTCCCAGCCCAGCAACACGCTGGCAGGCTGGGCTGTGAGTGGTTTCTGCCTCTGTTCAGCTGGCCCACATCTGTCACTCAGCCACGAGCTCAATGCTGGGGGCTGGGGACAGGAACAGAGGCAATGCTTCCTGCTGTCATTAGAGGACTCTCATCCACATCTAACTGGAAGTCTGCAACCTCCACATCAGACCAAGAAGAGAGTTCTCTAGACCTAGAGACCTAGGCGGGTGATTGCAGAGCAGTGAATGGCTCAGTAGGAGCCCAAGCCTTGAGCCTGGGGAGTTCCCCGAGGCCTTATTACAAAGAGCCTCCTGCAGGGATATAAAAGGCTGAATCCTTTGCCCTGCAGAGCGGTGGGGACCAAGAGAAGTTTCTAAGCTGCAGTTCAGGGGGAAGGATCTGACCCGCTTTAGGAACTGGTTGATGAGCTGGGAGACCTGTGTTCGAGCCTGACGACTTCCTCTTCGTTGTTACCCCCACCCTCACCCCTCCAGGATCGATGTGCTGGGCACCAGCCCCCCTTCCAGCCAGAGGCGCTATCGGAATTGGAACCCACCCTTGCTGGGCAACCTCCCCGATGACTTCCTGCGCATCCTGCCCCAGCAGCTGGACAGCATACAGGTGACAGGACAGTCAGCATCTCCCACACCCGCCTGCCAGGCCAGCCTCTCCATCTCGCCATCTGGGGCTCACACGATTTGTGCCAGCCAGTTGCACTTCCCTGAATCTGAACCATCACTGAGCAGTTTTCATTGCCCTGGGTTTGTAGGGAAAGAACAGTGAACCAAAAACATCACTTCCTGGAGGTGCTCTGGTTCCTGTTGTACCCAGGGAAAGTGACAGCCCCCAGAGGTGCTCACCTTAGCTGGGGGGGGATGGGGATGGAGACCCAGTGGCAGAGGGACACCTCCCCTCTCCAGAAAAACATTTCTCCCCAAGTGTTGGCATGAGGGGAGTTTCACCAAGAGGCAGCTGGTGCTCCACTGAACCCCTGCATGCTATCAAAGAGTGGTCCAAAGTAGGAGGGAAAATGGTCTGGGAACCCTGGCTGCTTCCCCATCAGAGAAAATGACTCAAGCCCCTTCTGTTGGGTTCTGGTTGGTGGCTAAGTGCCAGTAGGAGATGAAGACCCCAGGGCAGGGCTGGGGAACCTGGGAAAGGATGTGTGTGCACTCAGGTGTGCGTGAGCGGTTATGTAACACGTGCACACGCTTGTCTTCCTCCGCAGGGTAACCCTGGATGCCCCAAGCCCGGGAGTGCCGAGAGAGGCACTCTCCTGGAAGGGGCTGGGGCAGGGCCCCGAGACCAGGAGAACCGCTGGAAGCAGTACCTGGAGGATGAGAGGATTGCCCTCTTCCTGCAGAATGAGGAATTCATGAAGGAGCTGCAGCGGAACCGTGACTTCCTCCTCGCCCTGGAGAGAGGTGGTGCAGGGGCTGGGGCACTGCAACTGCTTTGCCTCCAGGGCTGAGGCTGGGGGAGGGAGCTGATGTTGGCTTTAGGCTGAGGCCTCAGGGGGAGGGGAAAATACCAGCCAATTGGTCCTGGTGCCACGTGGTCCCACCAAGTCTTGCTTGTGGGAGCCCCAGAATTCTGCCTGCTTAACCAAGCACTTCACTTCGCTCAGCCCTAGGGAGGAGGGCTGTGCTCCCACATGCCCTCTCCTTCCCTGGGCATCTGCTTTGTGTGGACACTGGCCTGTGTACTAGGTGACCACCAGAGATGAGTGATAGCTGGCCTTGCACAGTGCCAGGCACCAGGGCAGACATGGAATGATTGAGCTCACAGGCCCCAGAGGGCAAGACTCCTTGGGTAGAGCAGGGGCTCTTAAGAGGGCCGGGGTTTGCATATTTGGTTGTCTTTGAACCTGAGCGAGCTCTGGAGGCATGGTCCATGCATAGCTGTGCTGCTAACACAAAGGCCAAGCCTCCCTAATGGTCAGGTCCACCAGCAGTTTAGGAAAGAGACGGGCAGCTTCCACATTTACACTCAGAAATCGGCTGGAGAGCCAGTGATGAGTTTATTCTGACTCAATGGCAGTTTTAAGAAATGGGCCAAAGACCTGGCTGGCTGGCTGCCTCTCCCCTTCAGAATTAGAGTGTGTTTGGGGTGGGGTGTTGGGAGAGGGCTCTTGGGAGTGTGTGTGTAGTGCCACCGTCCATCAGTGGGGTGAACAAAGGGAAGGAAGCCCAGACCTGGTCCCAGCTCTGCCGCAGGCCTTTCTTGCTAAACGAAGGGACTGGCCTGTCTGCTCAGACTCCTCCACTCCGACAACTCTAACATCATTCACATGTTTATTTTTGAATTTTTAAAAATTTTATTATTTTTATTGATATTTTAACTAAAGGTTACAGAAAACTTCGATTTCCGTTCATTCATTGTTGCACATTTTCCTCCCCACCCCCTGGCCCCCAGTTCGCTTTTCTCTTTAAAAAGTTCTTTCCATGTTCATTCACGTTTATAAAGTAAGTTTATGTTTATAAAGTTTGTGTTACCTTGGTTCTTTGAGAGCCAGGAAGTGCATATAGGGTTTGGGGGCATGCTTGTGTGCAATTCTAGGGGCTTAGTCCTGGGTCACAGCTCCTGTGGGAGCCCAGGAGCTGACTTCCCTGTTTGGAATATGGTCCTTTGCCAGATCGGTTGAAATACGAGTCCCAGAAATCCAAATCCAGCAGCGTGGTTGTCGGAAACGACTTTGGCTTCCCATCTCCTGCTCCAGGTAACCACTCATAGAGATGTCCAAGAGCCTGGGGACCCCAGGTAACCCCTCTCACAGATGTACGAGGGCCTGTGAGCCCCACATAACCTTTCACACAGATGTCCAATGGCCTGGGGTCCTGGATGTCCAAGGACCTGGGAAGGTCCCAAATAACCTTTGACACAGCCACTCATACAAAAGTCCCAGAGCCTGGGCGTTCCAGCTCCACCTTTCCTTTTAATATTTGGGGCTTAGGGTTAGAATGAGGAAAGGTGGGGAAGCCTCTTCAACCCTAAAACAGACAGACAGGCAAAGAATAGGGGCGAGAGGAGAGAGTTCTACTCTACCTCTGTGCCCACCATGGAGAGACAGGCTCTCTCAGCAGCCCTGGGTTTAAGCCTCGGCCAAGTGCATGAGCCGAGCCTGCTCAGGGTGGCTCCACTCTGAGACACCGCAGCACTGCTCCACATAACGTCCTTGGAGGAGACCGGGACACAGAGGACCAGCACATTCAGTGCTTGACCTCCGCTTGGGGGAACTGTTTCTGGTCTTTTGGGGGCTGCTGGAGACACATAAACAAGAAACACATAGGACTGAGCAGCAAATCTGAGAGAACATTACTGATTACAGCCAAGGTGTGAACAAAGGCTGGATTAATTTGGGAGGGGTCCTTTTTTTATTCAGTCACCCATTTGCCAGATATGGAAAGGAGAGAATTTAAGGTGTCAGTGGTGGTGGTGAGAGGCAAGAGCCCTAGCGAGGAGGGAGGGGTTTTTGGGGGTGGCCTCAGTGCTGTAGGGATGAGGGACTGAAGGCTGGGGACTCGGCCCAGGGAGGTCCCGGAAGCCTGTCTGTGTGAGCTGTGAGCCCCAGTCAGTCAGTCCCTGGTCCCCCTGCTGCCTTAGGGAAAAGGCTTATCAGCATTTACTTAGATGGGACTTTCTCCCTGGGGTAGGATGGGGGTGGGGAGCTGAAATCCCGAGATACTGATTTGTAAGCAACAGGAGAGCCAGATCCCTTCCCCCAGACATTCATCTGGGAGTTTAAAGAGAGTCTCCTGTCCTTGATCCCGAATTAACTAGAGACGCCAGCGCTGCTGAGATGGATCAGAGGGGACTTAGCTGCCAAGGTGACCCTGGGCGAGGCGTATTGCAGGGAGAGCAGAGGATTCAGGAGGACAGAGGGGGACCCAAATGGGTGCTGAGGGAGCAGGAAACTCTGCAGACAGCTGGGTTCTGACTTTCATATTGGCCCATTCTCCTTCTGGTCCTTGTCTGATGACCAGGAGGGAGAGGCTGACGTGAAAGGAAGGAGGAGGGAGTCCCCACTGGTAGCCCCTGCTCTGTGCCAAGAACTACATGACCCCATTCAGCTCTCACAGACTTGGAAGGCGGCCGGGGGCAGGCAAGAAGCTCTGGTCATTAGGCCTTGGTGGTCCTCATGTATAACATACTCCTCTGCTCCTGTCAAGCTACACAGTGATGACAGAGGCGTGGAAGTGGGCACTAGGAGGGCAAGCAAGCCACAGCAATGCCCCATCCCACAGAGGGCAGCCAGGAAAAGAAGTGCCCTTGACAGACACACACACACCCCACACCCCCACACCCCCGCCAGTTCTCCTCCTTGTTCTGAGCACCTGACTTACCAAAGAAGGGTATTCTTTGCTGCCTTCCTTAAATGGAAGGAAAGGCCTAATTTAGTCACCTTAAGGGACAGCCTCTCGAACACCCCCCCTCACTCCCACCATGACAGTGTCCTCTCCAACCTGACTCCATCCCTATCTCAACAACTGTCTCCCCTTCCAGGAACCATCGAAGCCAACCCTGCTGTGTCTGAAGATGCCTTATTCAGGGACAAGTTAAAACACATGGGAAAGTGTGAGTCCAGCCTCGCATCTCGCTCCCCAGCAGGGCTGAGCCTGTGGGCTCGTGGGCAGGAGGGAGCCACCCAGCATTTTCACTGCAGTTGAGGCTTGATGATCTGATGTGACATGTTCATCACAGAGTGGCTCCTTGGCCTTTTTCCCTTCCCTCCCCCTACCTACAGCTGAGTCTGGATACACATTAAGTTTTAAATCCTTTTGAGCCATTTGTTGGCAGAAAAATAACATGCTGCACACCCCAGCCCGCTTTGGGGGTTCACGTCCTCTGTGTCCTAAGGAGGGCTGGCCTGCCAGGTCTGTCTGTAGGGAAGCTGTTGCTAAGCCCACTTTCTGCCAAGGCAGGTGGCCCGTGTTCCACCAGCCTCGGACACGTCCGTGCCTTAGTCTGTGGCCTCACCACCCCTCCTTCACCGCCACACACAGGCAACACACAGTGTGTGGAGGAAACTGCCCTTCTTCATGCTTCATTTTAAGGAAGTTTTCTGGTTAGTCATGGAAATCTCAGAACTGACTCTGAAGGTGGCGTGGGGAGGGCAGGGAGAGGGCAGCCTGTGCTGAGCCTGCCAGAGGAGATGTGGAAGCTTCGGTATCTTCCCTCCCTGTGACTCTGCCCCGCTCACACACTGGCCTGCCGTCCTGTCCCGCCTGTGTCTGGGGGGCTCCATCCTGCCCCATCTGACCTGGGGTGCTCCCCTGTCAGTGCTCCACTGTGGAGAAAACGGCTCACAAGTCTTTGCCCGCAGCCACCCGGAGGAAGCTGTTTGAACTTGCAAGGGCCTTCTCAGAGAAGACCAAGATGAGGAAGTCCAAGAGGAAACACTTGTTGAAGCATCAGTCGTATCCTTTCTAGTCGGGGGCTGCATGGGACTGGTGGGTGGCCCCTGGCTATACTCCTGTAAGCTCAGAAGTTTGAAGTTGTCTTAACTTTTCTACTCCCCTCAGTTGTTAATTTGTCTGTAGGAGGAAAGTGTTCTTTCTTAAAATCAGCATACCCTTCCATTAATTTTTCTAGTTGAACTGATCCACTCACTGCTTCTTTTCTTCTAAATTCCCATGCTTGCTTTTCAAAAGGGACCCAGGATACTAGAAACTGAACAATCAAGAGAAAAGGAGAATCATCCAGAGATGGGATGGGATGGGGTAAGGTCAGGGGCTGCTCAGTGACCCCAGGAATGCTGTGTGCTGTCTACCCTCCAGGCTAGGAAGCAGAGAGACTGCCTTCTGCCCTGGGGCTGGGAGGGGGTGGGGAGCATGGAGGGCTTCCAGTGCCCATCAGTCCTATCTGTTTTCCTGAGCACCCTGGCAGGCTGGGGGCTGCAGCATCCACAGCCAATCTCCTGGATGACGTGGAGGGTCACGCTTGTGGTGAGGCTCAGAATGGGGTGGGAGTGGGGAGTTCACCTTGAACCCACTGAAGGTCCTGGGTGATACACAGTGGATTCACCAGGGCAAGAGGGAGCAGCCTGGGGACACATCCAAGATTGTGAGCCAGTGAGCCAGGAATGGAACCCTCTCTGCCTGCCTGCCTGCCTCTAGCCCCTGACCAGGGAGCCCAGTGCACCCCCCCCCCCCGATCTTCACTGGTAGACTAAGTGCCAGCTAGTGTTTCTACACTGCTCTCTGTAATGCTCTCTGTATCCCTGAGGGGGCAGACAGGCCTAGTCACTTGGGGGAACCTCAATTTGAGAAGCAAGCACTAGACCCAGAGACTTTTAAAATTTCACCTAGTTCTTCTCTAAAGGCCAGAGGACCTCCCTGATGATTCCCTGTTGAGCTCACAGGTGAACATGATCTTTATCCCCAGATCAGAGGGGTCCTCTGGTGGTCCAAAAACCTCCAGAGGGGGAGCGGGGAGCTCTGGTGGCCTAGTGGCAAGAAGCTGCACTGCAATCCCAGAGGAACACGGTTCAAATCCACCAGATGCTCTGCCGGAGAAGGAGGCGCAATATCCTCCTGTACCAGTCAGATCTGATATGACGGTACACGCACACAAAATAATAAAAAATTAAAAAAAATTTTAAAAAGACCATTTTTTAAAAAAAACCCCACAAACCTCCAGAAACAAGAACTGGCAGGTCCTGGTTATCACCTGGGTAGTAAGTCATCTAACTCCCCAACCCCCTTTATGATGAGATAGGACCAGAGAGGGGTGCAGGAACTTCCCATGAAGCCAGGCAAGCACCCACATGTCTTCACCCCCACCATGTGCTGCTCCTCCTCCCCCCACACCTGCCGGCGCCAACCTGAGGGCCAGGTCGACCCATGTCCCCTGAAGTGAGGAGAGGTGGGTCTGTGCATTACACAGCGTGGAGGACATGTCTGATTCAGGCTCTGTGGGTGGGGGAATAACGCAGCAGTGTCCCCCTGCTTTTCAGATGAAGACTTCCGAGGAAGGCGGCAGGAGGCACCCAAGGTGGAGGAAACCCTCAGAGAAGGACAGTAAGAGGTGAGACCTAGCACCCTTCTGCCCAGGGTGCACCACCCTCATGCCCAGGAGTCCAGGAGGCGGGGTTCAGGCAGCAGAGCAGGTCTTGGGTCTCTTCCTCGAAGCCATGGTAACAGGGAGTATGGACTTCTGCATAGGAACTGTTATGTGCCGTTGAGTTGCCTGTGACTCACAGCAACTCTATGTATAGCAGCTCAGAAGGCTGCTCTGTCCTGAGCTAGTCTCACTGACTCCGACACACCTATCCCCATTGCATGGGGAACTAGTCTTTGCATTTATTTTTTTATTATCTCTCCCTTTGATAAGAGAACCACCCACCTGCTTAGGCCAGATGCATTCTAGAGGCGTATTCTTAGCCATGAGTAGTTGACAACCCAGTTGCAGAGGGAACCCAAGCTTACTGAGAGGGCACACATACAGTGCTTTCCAGCTCCCTGCTCCGGCTGGGTGGTCTGCAACCAGCCATAGCCAGATGAGGACCCTGCCTGCTGCAGGGATGGAGAAATGCTTGGTGCCCTCAGATTTTTTCATGGAGGCAAGATAAACCAGGGCACAGAGGACTCAACTGCAACACCTCTCACTGCTGTGGGCGGAGGGGGCGGGGGACCTGGCGAGTCCAGACCCCTCCTATTCCCCACCGGCTTTCCTCACCCCACAGCTGTGCCCACACATCCCAGTCCTCTCGAATGCCAGGGGAAATCCCTCCATGTGCCACGGTCTTCAGTCCCTCCTCTTTGCCCTTGGCCTCAGGGACAATGGGGATTGCTCAGCCTGCTTCTGTCAGAGCCTTGCTCACCATTTCTCCCAGCTCTTTCTTCCGGTCCACGTCCTCGTCCTCCCTGCCTCACAAACCAGTTCTTGATTCCTTGTTCTCAGTGTTTGCCTTCATCTCCTGACTGATGAAGATCTGCGTCCTCCTTCCCCATCCGGACTGGCAGGCCTCCCACCAGTCCTGAACTGATGCTGGAAGCTTGCCTGCCCAGCCCAGGGCCTTCTCCCAGCCAGCAACCTCTGATAAGCCCATCATCTTTCTTGAAACTTCCCTTCTCTGCTCCTGTGACCCTCCCTCCTCTGTGCTGGTTTTCCTCTTGTGCCTTCTCCCACCGCCTGGCTACCAGCTCTTCCCACTGCCCTGGTCTCACCCCCTCAAGTCTTTCCACTCCCCACACTCTCTGACACCACCACCTTCCTTACAGCATCAGCATTCCTAGACAGCTGGCTCCAGAGTCAGAGCCTCCATCTCTGCTCTGCATCCCCAGTGCACCCCACAATGGTCTTCCCAACCCTGGAGGTGAACAAAAGCCATCCTCACTGGCCTTGCCCATTTCCCTCCTCCTCCTCCCCTTCCTTCACCATCCTTGTAGACACCCCTCACCCAGTGAAGAACCCACAGTCTCTTCAGCAGCCTTATCTGCGTTCCATCCTGAGATCACCACTTTAGACACACTCCTCCCTTGCCCTTTTGGTGGGACTTTGTGAGTACAGTCTGCTGAGTCTTCAGTGTCTCCCCCTCCCCCCATCTGCCCCACCAGTGCCTCTCATTTCACACTCATGCTGTCAGGGAGCACCAGGCCTTTGGAGAAGTATAAGGTCAGCAAAAGAGAGGAAAGCCCTCAACCGGATGGATGGGCAATGGCTGCGGCAGTGGGCAGGAGCAGGACAAAGGCCACGAGGACTATGCTTGACAGTTTCCATCGCTGTCCGTAGGGTTGCTCTGAGTCCTAGTTGACTCAGTGGCTCCTGACATCAGGTCCTCTTGATGAAGCTCCTCTGAGTTCCTGCTGTGACACTGAGTGGACCAGGCACTTTCCTATTCCTCACTTGGCCATTTCTTCCACCTGGAATTTTATTGCCCATCCCATTTTGAATCCCTGCCAGTTGTGCAAATTGGAGCTGTTTCCAGGAGGCTGGATGGGAGGGTTGACCCCAGGAAGAGTTCCAAGGGTGACATAGGCCCCCGGAGAAAGCAAAGGGTTCTTGTCTTCAGTAGCTTTTGGCCCAAGACCAATCTCTGCAGGAATCAGTGACCATCTCTGAGGGAGACCTGTATCCCTTTCTTCCCCAGATGTCAACAGCTCCTCGCTGGAGATGACCTGAGCCGGTTAGGGCAGCCAGAGAACCATGCCAGCCTCCAGCCCAAGGGCCCAGCTGCAGCTGAACAGATGGTGCTTGAATCTGGAGCCCGCGATTGTCCCGCCACCGTCCAGCCCACCACTGCCACTACCGCTTCTCACTGGGGCGGAGACCCCGGCGCTGCCCAGCTGCGATTGGACGAAGGACCTGGGACACCCACCCCCCAAAGAGGCAGCAGCCAATCGTAGCCCCTTTTGTAGCCAGGCTGTTCATTGAGCAATGAATGGAAATGAAGGAGCCAGCCCCCTCCTTAAGCAAAATTCCAGAAAAGAGGCCCAAGCTGGAGTGTGAGAGAGGGCTGAGCGAGCCTACAAGAGGCCCTTTGACCTGAAGATGGAGTCCCTGCTTCCTGCCCTTTCCCGTCGCCCCAGCAGGGCCGCACCTGCCACCCCACACCTGCCCGACTTCCCCTGGGCGTCCTGTGTCCTTCCCATGACCTGCCTGCCTATTACCCCGGTGTGTCCCCGGCTGCCGCACCACAGCCCCCGCAAGGAGCCACCCAGAGCAGTGGCCCATGTGCTGCCGGGGTCACCCCTGCAGCCCACGCCCTCTTTTACACCCAGCAGGGAGGGGGACGGGAAGGGTGCACACCTGGGGCTGGAGGAGTCTGATTAGACACCATAGTCCTCAGCCAGTTCTGGAAGGGACTCTGCGTTCCCACCATGGCTGGCTTAGAAGACGCGCTGACTTCTAAGGGTGTGGGGTGCAGGTCTGAGGACAAGGCCTGGGTTAGGGGCCCTGGGGCAGAGGAGCTTAATGGGTGCCCTTTGAGAAGAGCAAAAAGGTGGAAAGGAAAACTCCAGTTTTGTGAGTGCTTATCCTGCCTAACACTGCCAGGCAAAGGAGGAGGGGCTATGATTCACTGACCCCTGCCCATCTGTCACCTGATGGGGACACACACCAACCTCGCCAGAGAGCCAGGGGCCTTAGGGGCCCAGAGAAAGGGTCAGCCCAGCTAGGATACGAACAGGAACCGGTCCTTGGCGGGGCCACAAACCACCTGGGGTCCTGTGGGCATGGGGATAGGGGCCTGTGAGCGTTTGTCCTGTCCAGGTCCAGGGTTCAGGCCCCAGCCCGACTCCAGACCATGGTGGAGGCGAGAGGGGCAGGGTATGTGGGGTGACCGAGTGGGGAAGGAGGGGCCCGAGCCAGAGCTCCTGATGGGCCCTGACCCCAGGGGCAGAAGAGGGGACCCTGTGCTGTGTGTAAGGCTGGGAAGTCCCAGTCCCGTGTCTGTGTGTGTGGCTTTGTTAGCTTCCCCTCTTCTCTGTGGGTTTTTTCATAGGAATTCCTGTAATAAAGACCGTGTTCTCTTGATGCTTTGATGTGGCCGGTTAGGTGGGCTGGGGCTCACTGCCCACCACGCAACCACAGGCCTCCCGCCTCACTCACCCCCATTAACCCGTAGAAGGCCGAGCCTGCGCCCAGGTAACCAGGAGGTGACACCTGCTGGCCACAGCACAGCCTTGCTGACCCAAAGGACCGGTCCAGCTGTCGCCTTCCTGCATGCTCAGGGAAAGTAAGCCACTGGCTGATAGAGAAACCCAAAGCCAGCTGGTTGCCAAAACTGCAGACCCGTCACATCCCTAAACGAACGGTTGGGTTGAGCGCTTCCAGCTCAAACTCCAGTGCCCCTCCCCGCCCGTCACCACCCTCCAGCTAGGCGTAGCAGACTGGCCTACTGTGCCCGGCCGGGCAGCGACTGCCATCCACCAGGCCTTGTTTCTGGGGTCACCTGGATCCCCTCCTCGAGCCCCCGCAATGTCAAGTCTTGCATTCTATCTGGTTTCTGCCAGACAATCGACCCGTGTTCTCCAACGAGTCACCATCTGGGTCTGGCCCCACCTCCAAGTTGACTCCAGTAAACTTGTACTGTGACATCCCGGACCCTACAGATGTGCGTCAGGCACTGAGCAAACCAAGACATGCCCCAACCCCAACCTCCACTTGGCTCTAGCTCTGAGCATTATTTACTGAGCTCTTTGAGTTGGTGTTGGAGAGGAGTGTTGAATATCCCAGGGATTGCCAAAAGAGCGAACGATCTGTCTTGTAGAAGGTGCCGCCAGTATGCTCCTTACAGGCGAAGATGGTGAAACGTCTCACATACCCTGGGCATATTGTTAGAAGGAATCAGTCCTTGGGGGGAAAAGACCTCGTACTAGGAAAGGCGAGGGTCAGAAAAAGACCCCTAACAAGATGGATCAACACAGACTAAGGAAAGGTTCGCGTGTATCAGAGATCTTGAGGATAGGGCAGGACCAGGTTCAGATTCATTGTCCACAAGGTCACTATGAGGTGTACTTGACACAACAGCACCTAACAACGTGGACAGGTGTGACGACAGTTAAATACTGCACTGTTAACCTGAAAGGTTGGGAGTTTAAACCCACCCAGCTGCTCACAGCAAGAAAGGTCTGGCCAAGCAAACCTTACGGGGCGATTCTGCTCTTTCACGTGGAATTACTAGAAGCCAGAATCCACAGTAAGATACAGCAAAAAGAGGTGCGTCCCCCACCCCCAATCCCTGGGGTTTAACACCACAGCCACCTGGGAACCTCCCCCACCCCCAATCCCTGGGGTTTAACACCACAGCCACCTGGGAACCTACTTGAAATGCAAATTAGCTTCCCCATTGAGTTAGAAACCCTAGAGATGAAACCCCACCCCACCCACTGCTGTTAAGTTGCTTCCGACCTCCCACCCCAGGCCTGAGCCAACGGGCCCTCAGGCTTTCCAAGGCAATAAATCTTTAGGGAAGCTGAGTTCACGTCTTACCCCTGAGGGACTGGTGGGATTTGATCTGACGACCTTTGGTCTAGGAGTCAAGCTATTTAACCACTTCCTCAATAGAATTACCCAAGTTG